AGAGCCAGCGCACATAAGGCTGAGGATTGAACGTCTTTATTTTTTTAACAGTTGACTTTATGATAAATTAGTTTGCTCGTGCAAGGTATTTCAGAAATTTCTACGCGCATATCGAGTGGCAGAGCAATGGTCTAAAAGGAAATTATTCCACAATAATTGCAAAAACAATAAACATAAGAAGGGAAAAAAAAGGAAGCAAAAGGGAATAGTTGAGGATGGAGAGATTACGACAGATTGTTTAAATACAAGTTTCGTAACGGTAGAAGATGGAAGAATGTCTCAGGATGAAGTTAATTCAAAATAATTGCAGATTACAAACTTAAAAAACGTAAACTGAATATTTTATGACGTTGAGGCGTAGCCCCCGAGAAGCATAGCTTTAAGCATCTCTATTGATCTAATCCGTTTTCCGAAACGTAATGTTGAGTTTAACACCAGAGCGCATTTCGACTGGATGTGATAAAACCGACACAAAGGTGATCACAGTGGCCAATCAGGACACAAGGGGCAGCAAGGACTCGAACTTAAATCGAAGCTAACTTCTTGAAGCGCGGAAAGGCGCAATTGACCAGCTCCCTATTGGCCCTGGTGTTCGTCTTGCATCTGTTTGGTTGAGTGGTAGCACAAGTTTTCTCGACCAATCACAGAGTGTCGTGAAGCAGGAAAAAAACAAAGAAATCCTGAATTACCTTCGACAATTAACAAAGACACAACACAATGACCCCGTCAGAATTCGAAACCAGGGCCTCACTATTTGAAACTACTAGGCCACTGTTGGCTCTGACGAAGGGCTAACGCTCGAAACGTCAGCTCTTAGAAACTCTTTACAGTGGTCAATTAACATTGCCAACTCAGTTGATGAATCAAATTATCTTGGATTACCCCATCGACGCAGCACCACAGTTTTCTTTGGAAACTTACCCAATTTTCACACATCTATGTCTTAGTAAACAAAAGTAACGCATACCTTGAAAAAAACATGTTTCACATAAGGAACTGACATAAAAAACATCTTGCCTGAATACTGAAACGGTTCTCATACGATCAGCAGTTGTACCAGCATATTCAAACGGGTCTTGATAAACTTCTCCAAACTCGTTGTACCACTTCATTGTAGCCACATAATCATCGATTTTACCAGCGGCGGTGATTTCCTTCCTCAGGAGGAAGACTGCATTCATAAAACCTGCACCGGCATTGTTCATCTCATGATCCAAAGTACCAATACCACTACTGTCGCTCCAACCTGACAAATACAAGAGTTGAGTTATATCCCATTCTAACCAAAGCTTAACTTAAACAGACCACTGAGCCACAGAGACTCTATGGTGAGCGACGTCTATTACGAAGTTCATATGACACGCGTCGGAGCACGGAATTTGAAGGTCTGAGGTTCGGTTCCTCATGGGGAGTCGGAATGTTTTTCTTTGTCCCACGCTCGTGACAAGACGAATAACGTCTTTCTTTATTTCTTTAACGAGCTCACAACTTACTAGTTCTTAATTTCATGAGCTCCAGAAATGAAATTTATGAATTATCGCATCAATGTCAGTATCTGAGCAACTGGGCACCTACCCCTCCCCAAACCTACATCAACCCTAACTTACTATGAGTTAATTTGAAGGAAAGTGACTCTCGCAGTAATGTGCTCTACTCCAGCAGTAGATTTTGTGTCCCTACAATATTCATACATTATCTAGCAAACAGGTAGTGAGAATACTCAAACTCATCAGGTACAAGTTATTACCTTGATCACACACCAAATTCTTGCAACAAATTTACAAGGAAATGTGTAGCAGCTAGAGGGGAGAATTAACAATTAGATCTTGAGAGTTAAAGGCCTATTTCCAGGCTCTCATGTTTTGCCTTTTAGCCCTTTTCCAGGCACAGCTGTCTATTCTATTATCAACAGCAGGTTATGTAAAAAGTTATTGAACTTCTGTAATGCCCATGATTTTACCCAAATAACTTTCAATTGCTGCTTTGCTCCATTTCTCTCTTTGACTGTCTCCCCCCCCC